AATACATTATTATCATTCTCATAATCATAAAATGCTAACAATCTCAACTTCTGAGGGCAAGGAAAAAGTATATTTCCTGGAGTCACAACCTAATCTAAAGCAAAAAAAAGGAAAACCATTTGCAGACTTGCATTTGTATTTGTATGCCAAATTCTGCTAACAACATTGACTGTAATACAAACTGTAGTTAAACATGGTGACATGAACCTTGATCAAGGGTGGAGCAAATTCTTTAACAGCTTTCTAGTCTAAGAAGTGACATTAAAGAACTTTACATTCAAGCATCTCATTCACCAAGTATAGAAAACATCAAGGATTTCCTAAGATACCACATAGTACAGGCAGACAACTATGCTGGGAGACAGCATTTGGTAATAACCAAGAGTTTAAAAGTATAACTTCATGATACTCATATATGAATATACAGTTCTGTGAGAAAAACAGAATGAGAATTTGGGAAGAAGATAATTTATCTGTTTGAATTCAAAATAATCCTGTAAAATGGCTCATCACTACGAGAGTTCTTTTGATCCCAGTGACAAGTATGAAGGTCTCTGAATTGTACTATTTCAACTAGGGGCCTCTCTATGTCAGTAACAGTAATATTTTCCCCCTTTTGTAAAACATTTGACTGACTCTTCACAAGCACACATATAACCAGAACGCAGTTATCAACGCTGGTACAATCCTATGCTCCTCTTTGAGCACATATTTCTAAAAACATTCCTCCTTAGTTTTCCTTAATAGGAGGAGAGGGAAGAGAAGGAGGAAGAAGAGAAGACAGAGGAAGAGGATGAGGAGGAGGCAGCAAAAACTTGGATCCTAGGATATATAGGTTAAGTAGATTTTCACCTTGAAACAGTTTTGACCTTCTGAAGGCAAATATCCTTATTAACTCCCTCTTCTGTGGTTGCCACTTTTCCTAAACCACAGGCCTTCCTGGCTTGCAGCAGGACCAGACCAGATTATGGTTATGTGGTAGGTTCTGTCAGGCAAGCTTTGACAAGGTCTCAAAATAGACCCTGGGCACTAGCCAGGGAAACTGTCACTCACAAGCTCCAACTTCACCATACCTTAGCCCTTCAGCACTTTTTTTCCCCCTCTGGTCTCTCATTTCAAAAAGGCAAAGAATCCTGACCTTCCTCTTGGCTACAAGAAACCTGTATAACACCAAAATTAAAAATATAGACCAGGCACCGTAGCTCATGCCTGTAATCCCAGCACTTTGGGAGGCCAAGGCAGAAAGAGTGCCTGAGCCCAGGAGTTTGAGACAAGCCTAGGCAACAGAGCAAGACCTCATCGCTACAAAAAATGTTTTTAAAAAAATTAGCTGGGCATGGTAGCACACACCGACAGTCCCAGCTACTAAAGAGGCTGAGACAGAAGAATGGCCTAAGCCCAGGAAGTCAAGGCTGCAGTAAGCCATGATTGCACCACTGCCTTCCAGCTTGGGTGACAGAGTGAGATCCTGACTCAAAATAAATGAATAAATAAAAAATAAAAATATAAGCCTTCCTTATTCTGTTCACAAACACTTTTCAGAATAAAGACTGTATCTGGACCTACCTCCCGTCTTGAGAAATTAATCCATCAATAGCACTCTGGTTTTCAAAAGGTATTTTCGGATCTCAAACTACAGAGGTTTATTTTATTATGAATATACAAGGATGTAAAAGGAAGAGAGAAGGTAGGTTTTTTATTTCTCTTGTGACTAATAATATAGTAGCAGACTTCAGCAGGACAAAAAGCTAAACTATACACAGTAATTTTAATTGATATTGGTCATAAAATTCTGAAACAATCAACCCTACAAGATGTAGTCATTTAATTATCACCAAATATAAATGGCTTATATATGACAGCACCAGTCTTCAAACCACAATATTTCTACTCTTACCAGTACAAATAAAATTAACCATCTGACACTCAGATTTTTTTTTTTTGAGTTGGAGTCTCACTCTGTCACACTGGTTGGAGTACTGTGATGCTCACGGTCATTGTAGCCTTGACCTGTTGGGCTCAGGTGATCCTTGTACCTCAGCCTTCCAAGTAGCTGGAACCACACCTGGCTAATTTTTAAATTTTTAATGTAGAGACAGGGTCTTATCATGTTGTTCAGGCTGGTCTCCAACCCATGAGCTCAGGCAATCCTCTCACCTCCACCTCCCAAGGTGTTGGGATTATAGGGGTGAGCCACTGCGCCCAGCTACACTCGGATTTTTTTAAAGTACCTTATAAAATACATTTGTAATTTTTTTTTTGAGTTGGAGTCTCACTCTGTTGCCCAGGCTGGAGTGCAGTGGCACACTCACGGCCACTGCAGCCTCGACTTGCTGGGTTCAGGTGATCCTTCTGCCTCAGTCTTCCAAGTAGCTGGAACTATGAGCATACACCACTACACCCAGCTAATTTTTGTATTTATTGCAGAGACAAGGTCTTGCCATGTTGCCCAAGTTGGTCTCGAACCTGTGGACTCAGGTAATCCTCTTGCCTCTGCCTCCCAAAGTGCTGGGATTATAGGCATGAGCTACCACACCCAGCCCATTTGCAATACTTTTTTTAAAATGGAAAGATGGGTAAAGAATACAAAGTAATTAAAAGCTCCTTTCTCTTTTTACAAGCCTAAGAAATAAGTTAACTTCCTTTATACATAATTCCTAACACAGGATTGAAATAAATTTCTTAATTTTCACAACTTAAGTTCCAACCTTACAATCACACTTTTGGAAATACATTCTATATACGTATTTACGAACTTGTGCCAAGACTTATATACAAATTGTTCATTATAGCATTGTTTGTAGAAGGCTAAAAACAACCTACATGTCTATTAACAGGAAATGGTAAAATAAATTATGGAAAATGAGTAAATTATGGTTCAGCTACACTAGGCAAGACATCTAGTGTTTTTAAAAAATAAGATGAGCCGGCTCGGTGGCCGCGCCTTTGGGAGGCTGTAATCCCGCGCCTCTGGGAGGCTGAGGTGAGTGGATTGCCTGAGCCGAGTGGATTGCCTGAGCCTGCAGGTTCGAGACCCACCTGGGCAACTTGGCAAGACCTCATCTCTACAATAAAAATTAAAAAAAAAAATTAGCCGGGTATGGTAGCGCGCGCCTGTAGTTCCAGCTACTAGGAAGGCTGAGGCGGAAGGATCACCGGAGCCCAGCAGGTCAAGGCTGCGGTGGCCGGGAGCGGCCACTGCACTCCAGTCTGGGTGACAGAGTGAGACTCCAAGTCAAAAAATAAAAAATAAGATGCACATATGTGCTAATATAGAAAGCTCATATATTAAAACAAGAACGAACGGTACAGGATATTTCTCCTAAACATACATGATTGTACATGTAATAGAAATTTGAAGAGGGATACACACAAGAAGTGAATAGGGGTAAGGACACTCTGGGAGAAAGCAGACATCCTTTTCATCACACAGTATTTTCTTTTTAAATGTTTTAGAATTTTTTAAAGTCCCATAACCATCTACTGAATCTACGAAGCAAGCATTCTCCTTCTATATATGCCATTTCTTCCCCCTTTCTATCCATCTCTACTTTTATCTATTGCTCTCCCTAACACTAGACTGAAACAAAAGCATACATATGTAACAAGTCCCAAAATTTTCTTTAAAAATAAAATTTTATTGACCTCCCCACCAAAATAAATTAACAAAATAAAAAGTATAACACATGATCAATCCAGTTTTTAGCTTAGTGTCTGATTTAAGTTTATTTATTGTAGGTCAAAAAGCTTTAAAACTAAAATTGCCATGTACAACACCAAAAAAATCACTTTCGGGGGTCCTATCTATATCTTCGAGGGAAAAAGACTAAGTTGTTTTACCCACAAGGCAAATTTTGCTCAATTCCTTCCTTCTGAAGTTTTAAAAGATTAATTTCAAATGATAATCACAGAATCTATTATGTATTTGCAAACCAGATAAGACAGTACATTTCACAGTTAGGCATCTCTTCATTCAATCTCCAGAGAGAAAGTAACTACCTTAAACGGAAAGGCTATGAAAAGGCCTCTATTTTGCAGGTGCAATGGATAGTGCTCCCAAATGAAGGACAGAAGAATTTCATTTCCTCTTAAATGATCCTCATCAACATTCCTAGCACACTCCAAGAATTGTTTCTTTCTATACATATTCAACTCTGTTCCTTCTCACACTAGGAGTAAATAATTCACAAAGAGATTTACAAGAAATTGCTCCCTCCCTCCTGCTCTATTTATTTCTAGTAAAGATTTATTTTTGTTGTGAGGGAGATACTTTGCCAAATATATTCTCCGTATCAATTTTTCTCTTTCATTATGGAGATGCTTAAACCCTGACCTAACAAGGGTTCCCTTGCATATTTATTTACCTCAGGACTGTCAGTTACGGTGGTTTCCACAAGGGATTTTCCAAAAGGGAATCTCTGTTTACAGGGAACTGAAACTCATAAGTCTCTATTAGCTGGACAAAAATCAAAAGCAACATTAGGAAACACTCTGAATATAAGAATAGATATCAAAGTAACAAAGATGCCAAAATTCAGTCAAAGAATTAAAGGAATCTGGTAAGCTAGACAGGCAGAATAAGCTTGCCATTAATTTATAACCAACTGAAGTTCTTTATAAATTAAAATCAAAGTAAAATAAGCTGACTTCCAGAAGGAAAAAAAAATCAAAGTAAAATAAGCTGACTTCCAGAAGAAGGAAAAAAAAAAATAAGGTTAAGAGTACCAAAAACTCTCTGATTTCAATGTTATTTTGCTTAACTTTTTGAAAGTCAAAAATAATCAAACTACATTTCAACAATAAAAAGATATTTCTAGTTTACAGTGGATTCATTCCAATAAATCACAACTTCAAAACACACGTTCTTCTAAAACAGAACTTACATAAAAACCCAATATAGTCTCATTTTACATTTTTAAGAACAGAATCACAAAAATTATGCTTTCTACCCAAAAGACTGTTTTGTATAATGCAAATTCTTGCAGTGAACTTTTTCATACCTTAGTGATGGTAACTCTTTTTTCCACTGACATGTACTCTATTTCTAGACCCCTTCATTTATCTTCCCACATCTGGCAAAAAAAAAGAAAAAAGGTAAAATCACAACAATCACTTAGGAACTCTCAAATTATTCTAAATTCAAGCATTCTGCATTACTTCAACTTTTATTTTCTTATACTTGACGATAATAAATATCATGTTAGCAACAAACTTAAAACATAATACAACACTTCATATGAGTAAAGGCATCTTATTAGACAGGCAGAAACAAACTTAGCTTTCTTCTATTTCAATTTTAAGATCCACACCAATGATTCACAAAGTGAGTGACCTAACTTCCAGATGAATCATACTTTCCAAAATTCTTATTCTACATGAGTATAATACTAGGTCATCATCTCTGTATCTGTTAAACAGAGCATGATGTTGGTTAAACAGGGTTAATTTTGCAAGACTTTCAAACCACACCAAACTTGGAGTCCCTGCCAACTAATGCAACAGTGCATTCTCCAACAATTGCACCTTTTCATACAGATTCATCGCAAAATAAAATGTTATTTTGAAAAAATACTGTTATTTGAAATACTGATTAAGAACTTATCCATCCATACATACCCTGATCTCCATCTCCCCTGTTTCATAACTGCATCCACATTCTCTTCCCATTGTGATAACATAAAATATTAATTGCCAACCTGTTATCCTTACATCTCTCTTTGTTAGTTAGCCCACTCTATAGTTTTTCTGTTTACGGCACAAATGCTGAGTCATTAAATGGAAACTCAAAGGAAACCAGTTACAAACAGTTACAGCTTCGGATACAATATTTCCTTAGCCGAGTCTCAGCAGCCTGATATTTGCATCTCCCAATGGTGGAAAAAGTAAAGCAAACACTTGAACTTTTTTCCCTCTAAGAAAGAAAAAGAAATGGATTTCCTTGGGTCCTCCTGCATCCTGCTGGATATCCACAGCAAAGGGAAAGTCAGGCCTGACTGGAGCTATATAACTTAACAACCTGGGTGTGAATAATGTCCCTTATTAGTCAAGCATTAAGCAGAACCTCCTGGCAAGTGCCTTCAATTCGGGTCAAGGAGGAAGGAGTTTTTACCCCATAAAAATGATACGCCCTCCACCGGCCTGACACCGTTCCCTGAGGTGCTCCTCCAAGGGACAGATCTGGAGGGAGTGTGGCGACAGGGGAGGAACAGAGGGACAGCTGCCCAATTTAATTTCTCCTTCAGTGGGAGTAGCACCCACCTCCCTCCTCCCCGCGCCGAGGCATTGGGAGCGCTGGAAATCGGGTGCGATGCCTGAGAACGTCAGGCTGGGGGCGACTCGGCCCGGAGCCCGCGGGGGGCTGGCCAGTCCCCAGGGAAGCCCAGCCCCCAGCAGGGGTAGGCGGCAGCGCGCATCTCCCGGGCTGCGGAGGCCGGGAAGGAAGCCCCGAGCTCCCGGTTCCCACCGAGCGGCGGAGAAGCGGCCCTTACCTGTCTCTGGGCGCGGGCTATGGCTGCGTCGCCGCCCGGGAAGGGCCGAGGCGCGGCTAGCCCGCCGGACGCCCGCGGGGCTGGGCGTGAGGAGCAAGGGGCGCGGCTGGACCACTCAGTTCCAGGTCTCCGGCCACACTGGCCGGGACGGACGCGACGGCTCCCGACGCCAGCGGCCGGCTGGTCAGTCACGCCGGGGTGCCCTAGTCGTCACGGCGGCGGAGACAGCGGGAACCGGCCCACGGGAGGAGCCGCAGCCGGAGCGGCAGCCGGAGGAGGGGCGGGGCCACGGGGTCGACGACCCGCTCACCCGGAAGTAGTTGTGGCCGCGGTTGCCCGGGAGTGGCGCACGCCGCGGGCCGGGCTTGAGCCCCGCGGGGCAAAGTACCCGGGCTGACCCGCGGCGAGCCGCGTGCTGGGCGGGTCGGTGAGATTTCCCTTAGCGGCGACGCTCCTGCCTCTCTGTTCCGCCATCGCGAGCCGTTGGGGCCATGCGGGAGGGACGGAGGGAGGGCGGCGGGGCGCGACTGCCGGGAGGGCGGGGCCCTGGGCCGCTGGTGGGGCAGAGGCCCGGGGCTGCCTGCGGTGGTGGCTTCTCCGGACCCACGGTTCCTGCCCGGCCCCTCCTGTCCCAGGACTAGGGTCCTTAATGTGAACTGATACGGGTGCTGGTTCAGGCCTGCACCTGCTCTGGTCGCCTCCAAACCCAACAACCGGGTGGACTTGGGTAAGGGGACTGGGTGGCACTCCGAAAAGCGTCTGTGACGGTGGGTGCGGAAGAAATTCCAAAAGCCTTATTTCCAAAATGAAAACGAGTGATCTTAAAATTATTTCCTCAGAAGAATGCTGAGGGGTGGAAGGGGGTGGGGAAGAGTATATATAGGGACTGTTAAAAATCTGATAGACGCGGCTCTGCCATTTATGCCAGAAGTGTCTGCCGAGGCCCACCAGGTTCAAGGCCCTGGGGAAAGACCCGGGTCCTTCTCTTGGAAAGCTTACCTTCTAGTGGGATAGAGGGCCTTAAACAAACAAACAAGATAATGACAGATTGTAGGAAGGCTCTGCAGGAAACACATGGGGTGATGAGAAAGAGATTGTAGGTGAGTTCTCTTTCGCTGGATAGGACAGCTAGAGAAGACTTTTAGGAGGAAGTGATAGTTGAGTACCCTCCTGAAAAAAAAAGGCAAGAAATACACATAGACACAGCTTTACATACAGGAACTATGGGTTTCAGAGCCCCTTGAATAAACTCACGAATTCTATGTTAAGATCTTGTCTTTAAAACCTTTTTTTTTTCTTGTTTTTTTGAGTCACTCTGTCGCCCAGGCTAGAATGCAGTAGCACATTGGGCCACCGCAGCCTCGACCTGCTGGGCTCAGGTGATCCTTCCGCCTCAGACTTCCACGTAGCTGGAACTATAGGTGCATGCCACCATGCCTGGCTAATTTTATTTTTTTTATTTTTACTGTAGAGATGAGGTCTCGCCAAGTCTCCCAGGCTGGTCTTGAACCCGTGGACTCAGGCAATCCTCTTGCCTTGGACTTCCAAAGTGCTGGGATTACAAGTGTGAGCTACTGCGCCCAGCCTAAAGCCTTCTTAAGGGCTGTTTCTGTGCTGCCCAGTCCCTCTGCAATTTCAGAAGACGTGTTCACCCTTAGAGTTTATGGGGGTTGGCACTATAGCTCTAATACAGGAGGTTCAAGAGCCAGGCGGAATTATACCCATCGATCTTAAGAGACAAATTCTTTTGTATTGCTATTTTTCTTGGACCCATGAGTAAACATTGGAACTATATTTGACTGAAGAAGAGCTCGATCTTCCCAAAAGATTGTACTATTATGTTCTAACTTAAAAGGATTAATGACATCCTTTGCTAAATCGATTGAAATAAAGGTAAAGGATCTACTCAGATATTAATGTATTACCTGAACAATACCAATAAACCCAATGTTTATTAAATATTAAGTGCAGAATTGATGGAAAGATTGTCTGGATATATTAGGGTTAGAGTCTCTTGCCCTTTGTATTTTACTTTCTCACCACTTGTTTTGGTTTGTGCCAAACTAACAGAAATATTTTGCATTGTATTTTTGGGAATACTGGGACTAGGAGGAAGCTAACAGTTCTTTACTGCCTATTATTTATAGAACATCATGCTAAGCACTTATATATATTACCTCTTCCAGGACTAACCTTGAGATATGGTTATTATTATACCTGTTTTAACAATAAATACATTGAGGTCCAAGAGATTGTGATTTGCCAAAGGTAATAAAACTAGTAACTGGAGGAGTCAAAATTTGAACTCAGGTCTGTCTAGTCCAAATTACTCTTTTTCTTTAGACCATACCATTGTGGACTTCAATATTTAAGAGTAAAAGATAATTGGAGTGTCCTGCCAAGCAGATTTTCTATATTGGTTTTATTTACTATGAAAATATACTGTATGCCAGGCAGAGTAGCGGGTACCTATAGTTTCAGCTACTCAGGGGGCTGAGACAGGAGGATTGCTTGAGCCCAGTAATTCAAAGCTATGGTGTGTGATGGTTGTGCCTGTGAATAGCCACTGCGATCCAGCCTGGCAGCATAGTGAGAACCTATCTCTATTTTAAAAAATAAAGTAAAGTAAAAATGTAAAATATATATGTACTTTAAGGTAGAGTGGTATGGAACAGTTTTGGAACTTCTCTGTGTTTTTACTTCTTCTGTAGAATATCTGCCGTCTATTTTGCAACCAAAAAAACTACTTAACTTGTTTTAAGAGTTCATAATATTCTATGTGATTTGAATGCTTCCAAAAATGTTAAAAAGTATGATGCTGATAGATTTCTTTTTGCCAAAAACATGTGTTCCCAGATCTTTATGGAAATATTCTGACATGGGAATGTGCCCAGGTCTGTGTGATCTGGCTGCTTTTAGGGTGTATTAATAAATGAAATAAAATTTTGCAAGTATTTATACAATTTGGAGGGATGAGGTGGTAGGATTTGACTGTTTGTGTTCCTTTCATAACAAATCCACATTTTTTTTTGATGAGGCCAAGAAATAAATTTTTTCATTTTTTAAGAGCAAATACTCATTGTTGTGGTTTTCATAAAATTGCCCTTTACAAGCACAATACTATGTTTCAATCTGTATATCCCTGGAAACATCATCAGTTCAAACATTAAAGTAGGGTACCACTTTTTTTAATCTTTTTTTTTTTTTTTTTTGAGTTGGAGTCTCATTTCATCACCCAGGCTAGAGTGCAGTGGCATGCTCACGACCACCCCAGCGTCGATCTGCTGGGTTCAGGCAATCTTTCTGCCTCAGCCTTCCAAATAGCCGGAACTACAGGAATGTGCTATCATGCCTGGCTAACTTTTTATTTATTTACTTTTTAACTGTAGAGATGAGGTCTTGCTAAGTTGTCCGGTCTGTTCTCAAACCCGTGGACTCGGGCAATCCTCTCACCTCAGCCTCCCAAAGTGCTTGAGATTACCGAGCCTGGTGGGTACCACTTTTCAAAGCCTTTTTCGTTTTTTAAGAGACAGGGTCTCACTTTGTTGTCCAGGTTGGAAAGCAGAAGTGTGATCATAGCTCACTGTACCCTCAAACTCCTGGGCCCAAGCAATCCTCTTGCCTGAGCCTCCTGCATAGCTAGGACACCTGGTTATTTGTTTTTGTTGTTGTTGAGATAGGGTCTCCTTATGTTGCCCAGGCTGGTCTTGAGCTTCTGACTTCTATTTTTATTAGTAAAGTGTGTCTGTGTGTGTATTGGAAACATTATAGAAACCTGGCAGTGGAACTGTCTTTGACTATGTATTTGTTTTAAGTTCTTTTCCTAAAAATTCCTTATCTAGATTTACTATTTTTTTCTTGCTATATTTTTTTCCTTTGTTTTACTTTTTATTTGGAAATAATTTTAGACTCACAAAAAGTTGCAAAAATAGTACAGAAAGGACCTGTGTACTATTTGCCCAGTTTTCCCCATTGGTGTCCTCTTACTTACCTATGATACATTATTAAAACTAGGAAATTGACATTTCGCTGTTTTCTTTAGATTTTTAATTTATGTTTATGTTCATATCAAAAGAGTTAACATTTTGAAATAATTCACTTATATTTTAATTTGGCTCTTCTCTCTTCCCTAAATTAGCAAATATTGATAGTTAATAAACTTGTTGTGGTGCTTATCTCAAAAAGTTTATTACAAAATTCTGTGGGTCAGTAAAGTTGAAAGTGACTCATTTGTAAGGTTTTTGCATTTTCTGCTTATACTATTCCATATTATCATGCTCGAATAAACCTATAGATTTATGTTTTATAAATACATCTTCTGAGCACTGAACTGTGTGTATGTTTTAATACATCCTCTGAGCACTGAACTACTTGCAAAGAGATTGTTGTCAAAGGAAAAGGAGAGACTCCTTCCTCATTTGACTGAAAAAAGAAGTTTCCAAACATCTAACTATCCTAACAAGAATGCTCTGGTTTATTGGTTAGGGAGCAGACTTTCACTTACAGCTAATTCTGGCTGTACATAGATTCTCCTACCTAGGGCAGCGCACCCTTTTCTCCACCAGAGAATAAGCAGAGGGAAGAAATGACATGTAAATTATTTCTTCAGTCTTAGCCGTAAGGTAAGGAGAGGGGAGAATTTGGGACTTCGCGTAGGTATCAATTATATTATGAATGCCTTATCACAGATAATCAAGTGATGGCTCTTCTGCATTATGTGAATAAAACATCCTTTATATTACAACTTATTTTACAGACTATTATACATCTGCTATACCCAATTATGTACTTGTCTCACAGGGACAAGACAGGATCACTGCCCTTAAGGAGCTAGAATTCCAAAGTTTGTTACTATTTTTTAATGAGTACTAACTTCTTACTTCTTAATATGTGCTAGATACTTTCGAAATGCTAGGGATCTAATGGGAAGCAAAAAGAAAGCTGTGTTTCTTTCTTTCATGAAACTTTCTGGTAAGGGAGATAATCTCACAAAAATTACTTTACAATCTAACAGATTTTACGAAGGGAGGTATGTGCTGCCATAAAGGAGTAAAGAGGGGAGACTCAGCCTAATCTGAAGTGTCAGAAATGGCCTCTCCAAGGAAAAGGTGTTTCAAGCC